CCTGAGAACGGTTCTGCCACAGGGTCTCGCATGACCTTGATGGGAGTCACTGAGGAACCCCCTCCCCATCCCTGACCACCCCCACGGTCTGCAGCCGGGGGTCCCCGAGTGTCTGCTGTTTCAAGTCCTGGGCAGGAGAGGCGTGGGGCGCTGGGTAAGTCGTACTGGGAGTAATAGTGGGTCCAGAGCCAGGCCCCCCAAATCAGGACACTGGTTGGCTGGTAAACCAGAGCCCCCAGTCCCCGTCCCCACGCGGGATGGGGGGGGAGGCTGGCCAGACAGCACTCAGCCCTCTGCTCCTCGCTGCCCACAGCCCGGCCCTTGGGGACAGACGCCTTCTCTCTGGGCAAATGAAAACCCGGAGTGGAGGCAGCACGTCCTGCCGTTTCTGACCATAACGAGGGTGGAAGCAGCCTCTGGAACAAGGTGCAGTGGACTCGGGACAAGTGGACTTAAGCGAAAACCCAGCTGTGGGCCTCTGGCGGGCGGCAGGCAGCCCCTTGGCCTTCCAGGGGGACTCCGGGCCGCGCAGGCTGACGCTGGGCCGCGCGGGTGCCAGCAGATGGCTGTATTTTTCTTGAGAGGCGCCGGGTGCCAGAATGCGGCAAGTTCGTTACTGGACGCGGCTCCCGTTTGTGGTTGGTGGGGCCAGCGGCAGGGCGGCAGGGCTCTCTCGCTCTTTCTCGCTCCTGAGTTTTTCCAGGTCAGGAGCAGAGCTCGGGGTGGGGAGGCAAATCCTGCTGAATGCGCAAGTTCTTCCTTCAAAAGCTCGCTCCCTGTCCAAGAGGACTTCAGTGGACTTAGCAGAGAAGAAACTTAATCCGTTGCCATCGAATCGTTGTGAACCCGGCGGCCGCCAAGTCCACGGCATCTTTGTCTTATAAAAGAAAGCAAAGAGGGAGATGGAAAGAAAGAAAGAACGCTCAGGGAATCCAAAGCAAACACGGGAGACGAAAGAAGAAAAACGAAAGCGGCCCCCAGAGCCGGGGCCGTCCTCGGGGTGCAGCCCTGGGCCCGCGGAGCCAGCGCAGGTAGTCGGCCCGGCAGGCCTCACCTGCACCTGACAGGCCAGTGGCCACGGGAGGCTCCATATACCCTCGCCAGAGCCCGCCTCACAGGGGCTGGCCGCACCCGGGCTGCCACTCGCCCTGCATTTGACCCTGGGCCCTAATCGCTAACAGATTGGAGTGCGCCTGTGGGTTTGAGGGCACGCAGTCCTGGCCCTGGGGTGCCCCCCTCACCAGCCGGCTCTGCCTCAAGGTCCGGCAGGCTGCGGGGGAGCAGGACCTCCGGAGACCCCCACGCTCCCAGGGAGCAGGCAGACCGCACCCGAATGCCCACTCTGTGCCCAGGCCGGGCTTCTGGGAACCGCGGCACCCGGAGCTGGAAGGTTCCAGTGCCAGAGAGAGAGAGAGAGGGTGCCCGGCAGAGGGGCCTGGGTAGGCCACCAGGGCACAGGGTCCGGGGGCTGCCTGCCGCTGTCCCCGGGCCTCCCCTGAGGGGTCTCTGGGGTCACTCTGGACCTGTAGGAGCCCACATCGGCTCCGTTCCTACCTGCTCACACCTCCTGCCTCCACTGTCCATCAAGGCCCAGGGGGCCGGAAGGGCCTGCTCAGCACCGGAGGGACCCCTGCTTTCCCCCAGCGCCATCAGCTCACCCACCTGGGGGCCAGGTCAGAGGGACCCGCGTCCCAGAAGCGCCGGGTCTGGGACTTTTCCGTCTCCTGCTCTGTAGCTCTCCGTCTGTCAGGAGCGTGGGCACACCTGCACCCCAACATCTGCACCCCCATACACCCCCACACCTATGCACCCCCACCCACACGCCTGCACACCCCACACCTCCACACCTGTACACACCACACCTGTACACACCACACCTGAACTCCTACATGCCTGCACACCCCACACCTATACACCTGTACATACCACACCTGCACACCCCATACCTCCACACCCCACACCTCCACGCCTCTACACCTGCACACCTACATGGCTTCACACCTGCACACCCCACACCTCACATCTGCACACCCCATACCTACATACCTACACACTCCACACCTACACACCTGCACACCCAACACCTGCACACCCCACACTTAGCCCAACACCTGTGCGCCCCTGCACCCCCACACCTGCACGCTTGCACACCCCACACCCATACACCCAAACATATACCTCCACACCCCAACTCCACCCCCCATAGGGACACCCTTGGCAATTGTTTGACTGGAAAATGGCGTGTCCCTGGAGCTGCGTCTCACCTCTGCCAGGGTCTCCTGCCTCTTGTCACCTGCCGTGACTGTCAGATCCCATGACTGTCCCTCAGCAGTCCTGGGTGGCCTCCTGTCCTGTCCTGCGTGGGCACAGCCTCGGGGCCCCACTGTCTCTCACGCGCCCCCTGCTTCACCTACTTGGCACAGGAGCCGACCCCTCAGGGCAGCAAGAGGGGTGACCGGGCCCCACTGGCCATTCCCAACCCGATCCGCCCCGCGAGGACCCCCGCCACCGCCACGCTGCCGTTCGGGCCCTGTCCGTTCCATTGCCTCCCGTTGCGGCCTCGCCCCAGGCTTCCCTCCCGGCTCCCCACAGCCTTCCCCTTCCCTCAAGCCTCCTGGCAAGCGTCTGGCTCTGGCCAACCTGCCTCGGTCCATGCCAGTGTCTGGGCTGCTAGAAAAAGTCAACAACCGGGCAGATGGCCGCCCGTGCTCTTCCCTGGCAACTGTCCTTCCTGTTCCCCAAAGGAGCCTTGTCAGCCCTCATCGCTCTCCTCCCCCCGAAGCCCTCCGCTCCCCGCAGATCATTTGACCTCCTCCTCTCAGGAAGGAGTAAAGCCCAGACTGGAACATTCCAAACCACCATCATTTCCGCTGCTTCCCCCAGCCCGCAGGCCAGATGCCCGCGCTGCTCCTGGAGATTGGCACCCGCCCTCCCGCCCGCGGCCACACCTGACTCCTCTCGCCTCGCAGCACACCCTGTCGCCCCTCCGACCGTGGTCTCTGCCCAGTGTCCCGTGTCGCATCTGTGGCTGTCGCGTGTGCTGGGTGTGTGCCTCAGGCCACCGATAGACCCAGTGGCTTCCTGTCTTCTCCCTCTGGTCTGGTGGAGGGAGTTCCTGCTCCCGTCCTCCCCTCAGTGCCCGTGACACAGAACCCGGGCCCCCAGCTGCTCCTCCGTCGCCACGGCCCAACCTCTCGCCGGGCCACGTGTCGTCTCATTGGCGCCCCGTTGCTCTGCTCCGAGCCTGTCTGCATTCGCCAACCCCCATCGCGAGAGCTGTACAATCGGGAGGCCTCAGAACCGTCCCTGCCGCCATGGGCAGCCAAGAGGCTCCGGCAGCCAGAGGCCAGCACCCCCAAACCAGACCCCACGCCCCGTCCCGGAGAGCCCACCACCTCCCTCAGGCCAGAGACAAGACTCTAAGCCCGCGTCTGTGGACCCTGCCCTGCCCCGCCCATCCCGCATTGTGGGGAAGGTCGACGGGCCCAGGAGTTGTTGTAGTTCGCCTGCTGGTGTGGACCAGCAGCCTTGCCCGGCCTCCATCCATCCCCTCGGAAACGGGGCCAGGCAGAGATCTCGGGCTCTGCTGCTGAGAGTGCCTGTTGTGTGCGGGGTGTGCAGACAGCGACTCTTTCTGTGCTGTTTCTCTTTTCTCCTTCACGTCTTCTCTGTGGTATGTGATTAGCACCCTTGTCTTCAAAACCAGCTCTTGCCCTGAGTTCACGAAGACCCTTCCTGAACGCTCTTCCACCTGGACAGAGCGGCGTCTATCGAAACACTCCAATTAAAGAGCTTTTTCAGGGGGCTGGAGCAAAAGCACAGCGGGTAGGGCGTTTGCCTTGCACGCAGCCAACCCGAGTTCGATTCCCAGCATCCCACATGGTCCCCCGAGCACCGCCAGGAGTAATTCCTGAGTGCAGAGCCAGGAGTAACCCCTGAGCATCGCCAGGTGTGACCCTCCCGTCCCCCCCCCAAAAAAAAAAAAAAACGAAGGCAGACTGTCCAGAGCCCTTGTCGGAAAGGACAGGAGTGTCCCAGGTTAACATGTTTATGACTGAGATGGTACAGCCGGAGGGTTCTTGAGCTTGATCCCTGGCACCCCATGTGGTCCCCCGAGCCTATCAGGAAGGGTCCCTGAGCACGGAACTCAGAGTAAGCCCTGAGCATCGCCAGACATGGCCCCCAGGCCAGAACAACAACAGAGGCCCTGGTGAAGCTCCCCCAACCCTCCTCACACCCAGCCCGTCCTTGCGTCACCCCGGCGGTGCTGGGCTCGGGGGACTGGGTCATCCCCACTGCTGCCCATCAGCAAATTCAACACTTGACAGCCCGTCGCCTAGTCCCCTCTCTGGGACCCCAACCACCCAGGCGTCCCCTGCCAGGCCCCCGACGTCTGCTCTTTCCCACCATGCTCGTCTCATCCTTAAGACCCACTGGGGGGCTGGAGTGATAGCACAGTGGGTAGGGCGTTTGCCTTGCACACGGCTGGCCCGAGTTTGGTTCCCAGCATCCCATATGGTCCCCCGAGCACCGCCAGGAGTAATTCCTGAGCAGTAACCCTACCCAGAAGGTTCATGGGGCGGGGGAGGGGGGTGGACATTCACTGAGGTCAGTCCCACGCCAGGCCAAGGCAAGCACCTTAACCCCTTTACCAGCTCTCCAGCCCATAAGGCAGAAATTCCAAATTTGTCCAGAAGGCCCTAAGTGTTCTCCGCTGACTTTCCTCCCCTGCAGTTTTTCTGTCACATCTCCTGGGCCCATGAGCGCTGAGCCAAGCCGGCCTGCATCCCTGAGTCCTGCCTCAGGGCCTTGTCATGTGCCCTGCGCATGGTGCTCGCCTCCCCCTCCCGATTCTCCAGGTCAGGTCACTGGCTCCCACAGACAGGTGGGGAACCTTACCCCAACGCGGCACTCGACTGGGGTTTTCCCCTTATCTGCTCCCATTGAGACCCAGCTCCTGACGTAACACCTGACTGGCCCTTCTCCTTTCTCTTCTTCAGGTCAAACTCGCTTTCACACTGGACCACGAGACTGGACTGCCACAAGGGTGCCACATCTACGAGTACCGTGACAGCAACAAGTAAGTGCCAGGACCCAGCCGAGGTGGCATCCGGGGGAAGGGAGAGGGGGATGTCAGCGAGTACCCACTGACCCCAGGGCCACTGCCCCGGAAGTTCTTTCATGCAGTCTCAGGAGCTCTAAGTCCCTGTAGGGAAGCGGGTGGGGGAGTCTGAGGAACAGTTTGGATTAAGGTGGGCCCTGCCCTTCCAGGTTTCTGGCCCCCCTACCCCCTGGCCTTGCCGTCTGACCTTATCCCAGCCTGGCCTGCTTGTGAATTTAGGGGGGGGCTTCTCGGCAGAGGCAGCAGCTGTGTAAGCGCAGACCACCGTAGGGTCGCTCCTCCTCCCTGTCACCCGTGGCGGCTTCATCCTCCTCACCCCTCTACCATCCGTGCACGCGTGCTCAGTGTGTGGCTGTGACACGGAGGTGTAGGGGGGCTGTGGGGGACCCTGAGGAAGGCAGGGTCAGGGGGAGGGGGCTTCCCTGATTACCTCCTGCGCTGGGCACAGCCCCCAGCCCTTCATTCCCCGTCTAAGGCTAAGGGCAGCCTGCGGGCACTCGACCTGTGTGTCCGGGCCAGTGTCCCCTCACCTCATGCCTGGGCACCATCACGCCCGCTCTCACTGTCCGGGCATCTGAGATGGTCACCCCCCCATCCCGAGCCAGGCGTCCCCCCCATCATCCCACCCCCACACTCCTATTCCCACCGCCCCCTCCCCAAGCCCCCTCCCTCTCTGCTCTATGGTGCTGGGCCCGGCGCCAACAGGGGAGAAGTGGCCTCGTGTGTCCTTGGCCATTCCAGGCTCCTCCAGTCAGAGGAAGGGGGGGGGGTGGCGGCGTGCAGCTCTGGCCAGCGTCACCCCAGCTGAGCAGGGGGCTGGCCACACTCTCTGCTTGGAGGCGCTCATGGGTTCCTTTGATCCGTGGCTGCAATTCCTGACTTCTCTGAGCTTCTAGATCATTCCGTGGCTGCATTTCCTGAGTTTCCAGATGGTTCTGTGGCCACATTTCCTAGCCGCTCTGAGCCTCCAGATGGTTCCGTGGTCATATTTCCTAGCCGCTGTGAGCCTCCAGGTGGTTCCATGGCCGTATTTCCTGATCACTCTGGACCTCCAGATGGTTCTGTGGCCGCATGTCCTGGCCACTCTGAGCCTGCAGAAGGTGCCCCTGAGGAACAGTGTGGTTTCTGATCCCCGCAGCGTGCCTGAGCTGGGGTCGGAATGGGTCAGTGAACACCGCGAGGCGCTCAGAGGTCTTGGGGGGGCATCTGGGAGCCTTGTCCCCTAGAACGACACACACGTGCATTCCGGGGCCAGCAGGCCTCACCCAGGGCACCACTGATGGCACTGCAGGGGGCAGCAGGCCTGGCACGTGGCCAGCCGTGGCTCCATCCCCAGCACCGCTGCCCACATGTGCCCTGCCAGGCTGGAAATGACTGGGCTGCTTTGACCATAACTCGCTGTGGCATGAGTTGATACCGTCAGACTTGGTTTGTTGGGTTTCTTTTCCTGGTTGTTGGGCCACACCTGACGATGCTCAGGGGGTTACTCTGGCTCTTCACTCAGGAATTAACCCCAGGCAGTGCTGGGCGGACCATCAGGGATGCTGGGGATCGAACCTGGGTTGGCCATGCACCAGGCCCGCACCCTTCCCATGATGCTGTCTCTCCAGCCCCAGAAACTGTAAGGCCCTCTTCTCCCCGGAGGTGTCTCGTCTGTCCCTACGTCTGTCCCTCTCCCCCCGATGGGGAAGTTGCCCTGCCCTTCTGGGACCGCCCTGGGACCGAGCTGCCTCTGACGCTCCCTCCTGTGCTGCTCTGCTTCCGGGAGCTTCCTCTCCTTCCGTTGTGTGCAAACAGCCCCCTGGGATCGCTCCCGCCTTCCTGCCCACCACGCCCGCTGCACGCAGGACAGACGCCCCCTGCTCCCCCCCTCAGAGGAGGCGCTGACCAGCCTGTCATCGCTGCCCCTGGGCCCCTCCTGCCCCGCAGCGAGCTCACGCTCGGGAATGGTGTTTGTTGCCGTTTCAGTTGTTGGGTTGCACCCGTCGAAGCTCAGGGGTTGCTCCTGGCTTTGCACTCAGGGGTCACTCCTGGTGGTGTTTGGGCACCTGATGGGGTGCCGGGATCGAACCCGGCTCAGTCGCATGCAAGGCAAGCGCCCTCCCCACTGTCCCGTCTCCCCGGCCAAGCCCACAGCGGGAGGGGTCCAGGGCCGTGTTTTAGAGCGAGGGACCGAGGGCCGGCAACCAGCCGTGGAGACGTGAGCCCCCAAGTCCAACCCTCAGTGCTGCCCATGTGTGCAAGCCCCAGGGCCACGTGTACAAGCTCCCGGGCTCCAGGGTCACGTACAAGCTCCGTGACCAAGCTTGTGTCTGCCCGAGGGTACCAGCAGAGGGCGCCAGCAGCCACATCCTGGGTGACTCGTGGGCTGTGGTTGTGGGCTATTGCTATGGGCTATACCTGCGGGCAGTAGCTGTGGGCTGTAACTGTGGGCTGTGGCTGTGGCTGTGGCTGTGACTGTAACTGTGGGTTGTGGCCATGGCCGTGACTCTCGGCCCCTGGGTGACTCACTCTCGCGGTGGAGTGGGGTGCAGCCCAGCTGTGCCGGTGCCTCTCGCTGTCCCAGACGCCCTCTCAGGCCCCGACCTGGCCTTGCAACCTGCACTCGGCCACCCCGAGCCCCCTGCTGCTGCCCCCTATGGCCTCACCCTGCGGCTCCCTGGGCCAGGCTGTGGAAGCGTGTGGCAGACTAACCGCCACCCCCAAAATGACCCACAGAACAGAAAATCTAGGACATCCGGGACTCTGGCCACCCGAAGCTTCTCGAAGGGCAGAGGACGAAGGAGAGGCCCGGGTGCTAAGGAGACCCCGAGTCCATGTCCCCTGGGAGAGGAGCACGGGGTCTCCAGTCCCCCACGGGGTGTCGCTCCTGCATGCCTGGAGACGGGCCTCTGCCCGTCGGGATGGGGGCGTCAGCTGCCCTCCCCTCCTAGAAAGAGCAGCTTCTAAGGGACGTGTCCCGGATGGCCCTTGCCACCTGCTGCACTGCACGCCCCAAGGTGCTGGCACTTCCTGCCTGGGGGCCGAGGGAGCTACAGAGACGGGGGTGAGGGAGTGGGTGTGACCCACAGCCGAGCCACGACCAGAGCCATCTCCTACATCCACAGCCCAGTGACAGCCCACAGCTACACTAACAGTCACAGCCCACAGTCACCGCCTACAGCCACAGCCCAATTTCAGCCCACAGCAAAAGCCCGTAGTTACAGCCACAGCCACAGCTACCGTCCACAGCTCTGTTACAGTCCACAGTCACCGCCAGCCGTTACAGCCCACAGCTACAGCTCAGTTACAGCCCACAGTCCGGAAACCACAGCCCAGAAACCACCCTGCTTCGGGGGCCTGTGGTCAGCTCTGGCGGGTGTGACCCCAGCCCTTCTCCAGGCTCAGGGCCACCTCCCTCGCAACCTGCCCGTCTCCCGCAGGGCCGAGTTCCCTGGTTGCTGCCGCCTGCGGTGCAGGTGCCACGAGGGTGTGTACCCCAGAGGCTGCAGACACGCACCCCACGGCCAGGGCTGAGGCCGGGCACAGAGCCGCTGGGCACAGAGGGGCCGGAGCAGGGGCCTTCCGCCAGGTGGAGGTGGCAGAGAAAAGGGGCTCCCCTGGGCCTGGAGGGCTGCCCTCGGGCCACCGCGCCTCACTGCTCCCCACACTGACACGGGTGCCTTTCCCCTCCTCCAGGCAGGGCGCCGGCCATTGTCCCTGTGGCCACCTGTCAGGGAGGGAGCCAGGTGGCCGTGAGCAGTGGGGGGTGTCAGTATGCACGCGTGGGGGGAATGTGAGTGTGCCTATGTGTGTGTGTGCCTGTGTGTATTTGTGTGTGTGTCTGAGTGTTTGTCTGTGTGCATGTGTGTATCTGCGTGGGCTTGTGTCTGAGAGTGTGTGTGAGTCTTAAGTGTTTGTGTCTGAGTGTGTGTGTCTGTGTGGGCATTGTCTGTGTGTGCGCGTATCTGAGTGTGAATGCATGATGTGTCTGCATGTCTCCGTGTGTGTGTGTGTCGGGGGCGGGGGGCTACAGCGGCAGGCACCCATCAGCGTTCTCTCACAGCCGCAGGCTCCTTCCCCTCATTGGCGTCTTCCTCATGGCCCCCGCACAACCTGCCTCTCTTGCCCATCACCTGGGCTGTGGCCCTGGAGCCGGGGACCCACCGCACGCACTTCAGGGCCCTGCGTGCAGGCAGGAGGGGAGGGCTCAGCCTCTGCGGGACGGAGCCAGGGGTGAGTAGAGGCAGGATGAGAGACCCTCACGTGGTGACCACCCACTCGGGGCGCCTCGAGGGAGCTGAAATGGGGTGTGGGGCCATGGTGGGGTTGGGGGCGTTGGTCACCCCAGCAACTTGTGTCGCTCAGGCTCTCCCGGGACCCAGAGAGGGCGGACATGTGAGTGACTTCTCAGAGTGGCCGGAAGGACCAGTGACCTTGGCCGCGCTGCCACAGTTGTCCGACCATCTGCCCCCATCCCCATGCAGGGGTTGTCACAGACCCCAGACCACGCCCACACCTGGCGCAGGGCCTGGCTGGACCCGGGAAAAATGTGTGTCTGTCTGTCCATCTGTCCCCCACTAGCCCCCAGCCTCTGCAGAGAGAGAGAACATTCCACAACACCCTTCCCTCTTCAGCCCAAAGCCGAATTCCACTTTCCAAATCCATCCTTCCCAGTGTCAGGCCGACCCACACTCGGCCCCTTGTCCGGGCATGGCTCCAGACGGTCCCTGTGAGGGTTGCACGGGACGGACAGCCCTTGGGGGTGGGCGGCTGGGCCTCCCGCCTGCACCAGATCAATCCATGGCCCAGTTACCTGGAGTGTGAATACAGCCACGGTCCCCGCTGCTGCGTGGAGACTTCGCTGCTCTGCGCCAGGCCCAGCACTGCCCTGTGTCTCCCACAGGGAGTGGCCGTTTGCGCAGACATGAGGCTCTTGTACCTGTCCCATTCCCCAACAGTCCCCGTCACCACCCCACGCCTCCCTGCAGGGCCCCGCCCCGATTCCCGGCACCTCGCCCAGGAGACCCAGATAAACTGGCGACGGAAACCTGGGTGGCCATGGCCAGCCCGCCGGGCACGGAGAGGGGACGCTGGGTGCCTGCCGTCCGGCGCGGGAACCCTTGCCCGCCGCAGTGCCTGTTCCGTCTGGCTGTGGCCGTGAAGCCGGTCTCGTTCGTTCCCTGTGGATTCAGGGGACTGTCCAGGCTCTCAGTGGGGTCAGCAAGAGACCCCAGCCGACCGCCCCCCGGCCCCCCAGTCCTCCAGTTCACAGGCCCCTGGGGCCTGGCAGAGAGCTGAGACACCCCCCTTCCATGCCCCTCCCCCAGCTCACACGTGGGGGCCTTGCCCATCCCCCACGGCACTCAGTTTGGGGGCTGCCGGGGAGCATCAGGTACCCGCCAGCACAGGCTGGCCCACCCCTCTCCTGAAGCTCCGGCAGCTGGTCAGGAACTGGCCTCTCGGGAGTGTGAGCACTCTCCCCGGAGCTCAGGAACCCTCCTGGCGGCAAGTGGCCAGTGCCACCTGCTCGTGGCCTCGCCCCCATGCTGGGCACTGGGGGCAGAAGGCTGTGCCCTGGCACGCTCTAGGGCTGCGTCCGCAGGTTTGGGCTGTGGCCGTGCCACTGGGCCCCAGCTGCCTGCACCCCCTCATCCTTGCCACGCCCACTTTCCGAGGTCCAGCCCCGGGCCCAGGCGGGGCAGAGGGAGTCCCTGCAAAGGTCCCCAGGAAGGGCCCGTGGTTTTCACCCTTGCGGCCCACCACCCTGCCGACGACACCATGCCCTGCCCTGCCCGGGCTGTTGTGAGCTGGCGAGACCCCTGCCCCTCCTTCCTGGAAGGGCTCGTTTCTAGACCTTTCTGCTTGGGGTTTGCAGGTAGAACAGCGGCTTCTCCCTGGCCACTGGCTTCCCTCAAGAGTCCCTGAAGACAGAGGCCAGGGACCAGGGAACATGGGTCGGTCTGACCCTCTGTTCCCTGACCGGGCATGGCCAGACCCTCTTTGCCTGGAGGGAACTTGCTCTTCCCGACAGAGGGGTCAGCTCAGCCAGTCTCCTGCCCGCGGGGGGTCTGGCTGCTCCCAGGCCTCCCTCCCGCCCCGCCCCCGGCCTGTGTGGTGCCTTTGCTGAGCAGCAGGGGAGGAAGAGGCTCGGCCTGGTGGGCGGGCAGGCCGGGGTCCGTGCTGGTCGTGCCCAGACCCCACCCCAGGGGCTACTGCACCCGTGCATCCCGGGAAGTGAGCAGAGCTCACAGTGTCCCCAAGGCTTGCTGCATCCTCCTGCCTCCAGCCCAGTGCCCCTGCATGCTGGAGCAGGCCAGGGAGTGCCAAGCCTGCCCCCCTACCCCCCATGTCCCCACCCCCCATCCTCTGAGCAGCCCCAGCAGGGGGGTCTTGTGACAGGAGCACCCACACCCCTGCATCACAGGGGTGCTCAGCCCGCAGCTTTGCAAGGACGGACCCTGCCAGGCTGTGCCCCCCACGTGCTGCCCACGCCACGCGCCCCCTGGGAGCCGGCAGGGTGGGGTCGTCCAGCACAAGGAGCCGCCGCAGACACACATGGCTGGGCACTCCTGCCCGCTGCCGCATGGTGCTCCCAAGGGTCTGAAGGACTGAGAGGGGTGAGGGTAGGCGGAGACCCCGGGCGGGCACATCCAGACCAGCCCAGCCCTAGTGACAAACCTTCCACCACCAAGAAGGGAGGGGAGTAGGGTGCAGGGACTGAGGGGCTCGGGCCCCCCAGCGCCGGCCTTGGCTGTGGCCCAGAGACTCCTGGACAAGCTCGGCCCCTCCTGCACCTTCCTGGCCTAGGAGCTGCCCCTGCCACGTCCCAGGGCCGGCGGAAGGACGGTGTGGGGCGCCCCCTGCTGGCCGGTCCGCGGAAGTGACCCGGGGGACCTGTTGAGCCAAGTGGAGGGGCCACTCATGACCCCCCTGGGCCTGCCCCAGCCCCACCCCTCCATTGCCAGTGAACCCTGAACCCTCAGGACCCCACCACAGACCACTGACTTTCCTCAGATGTGCTCCCCTGGGACTCTGGGACTGGGCCCCTCTCCACCTCCCCCCTCCCCCACCCCAGGACTGAGTCGCATCCCTGACCCCCTCACCGCGCCCTGGATGCTCATTCTCTGCCCACCTTGGGGACCCGGGTGCTGCTGGGGTGCAGGGAAACCAGCGAGGGACCCCCCCCTCTTGGAGACAGCACCCCGTTCACTGCAGTCCAGCTGAATGGGAGAGAGAGACACTGATGTGGGAATGGGCTGAGACCCGGCGGGGGTGGGGGTGCCCCCCCAGAGGCATGGAGCCAGGGTCCTCCCAGATCGACCCCGCACACCTCGGCCAGCGGCTGTCCTCGGTGCTGCCCATCAACCTCAGGCAGCCAGCATGGGCCATGGGTCAATGTTGCCCCAACACAGGCCATGGTGGGTGTCCCAGAAGACACCGAGGGTCACCTGCTGGGGCCAGGGGCTCCCCCAGCCCAGCCGTTCCCTCCCTGCCCGTTGCTGCCAGACAGGATCTGGAAGCCCTCGCACTCCCAGGAGCCCAGCGGCCAGCTCCTCTGACCGCGGGGATCGGGGTCATAGGTGGCAGGGGGTGGGGGACAGCTGAGCCCCGGTGCCCAACCCAGCCGCTCCCCCCCGCAGACGGCCCTGGCCTGCTGCCTCCCCCAGCCCTGCCGTGGGGCCCTGCTGCCCCCTGCTGGCCGTGTGCACAAGGACAGCCCTGCTGGTCTCCCCGCCCGTGGGCTGAGTCTGGGTGCTATGGGTCTGCCAGGGCTGTGACGCTCCTGTCATGTGTGTGACATCCTTGAGTGTGCCTATAGTACGCCCAGGTGGACTGTTGTGACACGCTCTATTGTGACACACCTGTGTCTCTCCTGGATGACTGTGACACCTGCCAAGTGTCTGTGCCACCTGTGTGACATGCCTGTGATGCGCCTGTGAAGTGCTGATGACACCTGCGATGTCCCAGTGTCACATCTGTGATGTATTTGTGACACACTTGTGACTTGCCTGTGTCGTGTCTGACGCATCTGTAAGGTGCCTTTGGCACATCTGTGACACGCCTGTGATGCATCCGATGTATCTGTGACATGCCTGTGACACATCTGTGACACATGTCTGTGACATGCCTCTGACATGCCAGTGAGGTGTCTGGTGTGTCTGTGACACGTCCGTGGCATGCCTCTGATGTGTCCGCAGCTGTCTAACACACGTGTGGTCGAACCCCGTGCTCTGCCTGTGTCTCCCCGTGGGAGGCAGCGGCCCGTGGCCTGTCCCCTGAGTAGCCCTTCCTCGGGGAGACCCCGTGCCCGCCAGACACCCCCTCCCCTGCAGAGCCTCAGAAGCCCCCTCAAAGGGGTGTGGGCCCGCTCCCCCACGCCCCAGGGAGGGCAGGGAAGCGCTTTCCCCAGTGGTCAGAGCCCCCGGCGCCTCCCCACAGGCTGGTGGAGGAGTTCATGCTCCTGGCCAACATGGCCGTGGCCCGCAAGATCCACCGCGCCTTCCCCGAGCGCGCCCTGCTGCGCCGCCACCCGCCGCCGCAGACCAAGATGCTCAACGACCTGGCCGAGTTCTGCGGCCAGATGGGGCTGTCCGTGGACTTCAGCTCGGCCGGCGCCCTCCACGTGAGTGCTGGTGGCACCCCGGGGTGGGCGTGCGGAGGGAGGGTGGGGGGCAGCAACTCCCAGGTTCTCACAGATCAGGACCCCAGGGGACCCCGGGGAGGGAGGTGGTGGCTGGTGCCCACTTCCAGGGAGCTGCGACCTCGGGAGGGAGACCCCAGCCCATCCCCACCCCCCTGCCTGAGGTTGCTGCGGAAGCCCCAGGTGGCAAGTGAGATGCAGGCCCCAGAGTGGGGCCTCCCTCCCCAGAGGGAGCCCCAGGGCCTGACCTCCTGCCTGGCTCCCGGATTCATTCTAGAAAACCCTGACTGAGCTGTTTGGAGATGACGAGTACTCGATGGCCCGGAAGGAGGTGCTCACCAACATGTGCTCCCGGCCCATGCAGGTGAGAGTGGGCCTCGGGGGAACCCGGGGAGGGGGCAGCGACCCCAGGCAGGCTCCTGTGCCCGGTCGCCGCCCCCTCTCCAGCTAACACCCAGGCAGCATGGGCGGGGGCTGCACCCCGCAGGGGGCAGAGGGGCGCTGGGCCCGTCCATTCCAGTGCCCGGCCGCCCTGACGCCCCCCGCCCCCAGATGGCGCTGTACTTCTGCTCGGGGGCGCTGCAGGACCCGGTGCAGTTCCGGCACTACGCCCTCAACGTGCCGCTCTACACGCACTTCACCTCGCCCATCCGCCGCTTCGCCGACGTGCTGGTGCACCGCCTGCTGGCCACGGCGCTGGGTAAGGGCCCGTGCGGGTGCTGGGCGGCGGGGCACCCCCGGATGGGGAGCAGAAGCTCGGGGAGCCACGCGGGGAGGGGGGGTTCCAGGAAAGCTCGACTGAGGCCCTAGCCCTCGAGCCCCGTGGGGACCGCCCGCCTGGCCCCCAGCCCGGGCCGCACCCCGCACCCCGCACCCCTTCCCAGGCTACAGGGAGCTGCCCAACCTGGAGCCCGACGACCTGCAGAAGCGGGCGGACCACTGCAACGACCGCCGCATGGCGTCCAAGCGCGTGCAGGAGCTCAGCACGGGCCTCTTCTTCGCCGTCCTGGTCAAGGTGAGACCCCCGCCCTCGCGGGCTCCCCCGCCCCCGGGCACGCAGCATCCCCAGGCGAGGGGCTGTGCGGGCCTGAGCCCTGGCTGTCGGCTGCCTGCAGGAGAGCGGCCCTCTGGAGTCCGAGGCCATGGTGCTGGGCGTGCTGAACCAGGCCGTCGACGTGCTGGTGCTGCGCTACGGCGTGCAGAAGCGCGTGTACTGCAATGTGAGTGGGCCGTGGTGGGATTGAGGGCGTGGTGTGTGGGGCCGGGGGCGGGGCCTGCAGGTCAGGGGCGGGGCTGTGGGTTAGGGGCGTGGCATGTGTGGGCAGGGGGCGGGGCATGCAGACAAGGGGAGGGGCTGTGGGGTGAGGGGGTGGGGCCTGCATGTCAGAGGCGGGGCCTTAGAATAGAGGGCGTGGTATGTGGGGTCAGGGGGCGAGGCCTGCAGGCCAGGGGCGGGGCCGTGGGATAGAGGGTGTGGTGTGGGGTCAGGGGGCGGGGCATGCAGGCCATGGAGGGGCCGTGGGATGGAGGGAGTGTTATGTGGGGTCAGGGGGTGAGGCCTGCAGGCCAGGGGGGGGGCCTGGGATGGAGGGTGTGGGGTGTGGGGTCAGGGGGCGGGGCATGCAGACCAGGGAGGGGCCACGGGATAGACAGGGCGTGGAGTGTAGAGTGAGGGGGTGGGGCTGTGGGATAGAGGGCATGATGTGGGGGCGTGCAGCCCAGGGGGTGGGGTGTGTGAACCAGGGGACGGGGCTTGCGGAACAGAGGGTTTGCTGTGGAGGGCCAGGGGTGGGATTTGCAGGCCCAAAGCGCCCCCCAGCCTTCTGCCAACTCTTCCACATACCCCCTCTTCTCTGGAGATCCAAAGCCTGGCCTACCGCCCCTCGTCCCCAGTGGGGTGCAAGTGACTTCCCCCACACGTTGCACCCACCTGCTGGGACCACCCGCACAGCTGTTTCAGGACAGGGGTCCAGCGTGGGCCACCATCTCTCTACCAGCCCAGGATGCGGGGTTTCGGGCTGGGGGTGGCAGGTGGGAGGAAGACCCGGCCCCTGGGAATGGCGCACCCCAAGGGGCAGGAGACCAGTCTTGCCTTGGGGGCCTGCCAGGCCACCTGACCCCCCAGCTGTGGCGCTGTGTACCCTCCCATCCCACTGTTGTGATGCTCAGAGGGGACACCGGGGTCTCCACAGGCGCTGCCTCTGCGTTCCCACCACTTCCAACGGGTGGGCAAGAAGCCGGAGCTCACGCTGGTCTGGGAGCCCGAGGACACTGAGCAGGAGCCGCTGCAGCAGGTAGCGCCCCTTCCAGAACGTTCCTGTGAGCCTGTGCTCAGGCCCCCGCTGAGGGACCCTTCACCCATACTGCCGACTCTGGACCTTGTGTTCCTGCTGCTTCCCTCCAGTGAGGGGCGCTGCTGCCCCTCAGGAGGACGACTCAAAAGGAGGACCTGCTCCAGGGTTGTAGAGGGTGGCACTGAGTCTGCCCATGGCAGCTGCTGGTCCTTACCTGGTCCCTGGACTTCAGACCCCCATGCAGGGGCACGGGAGGGGGTAGGCAGAGGCTCGGAGCAGCCCAGCAATGGGAACACCTGCTGGCTGCATGGTACAGGGTTGGGATGGCCCCAGGCAGGACAGCTTCCCCTCCCCCAGCCAGTACCCACATCCCCCCCCTCGCCCAGACCCCCTCCCCTGGGCCTACCCCCACACGTGTCCCCCTGGCCGGCAGGTCCTCACCATCTTCAGCCTGGTGGATGTGGTACTTCGGGCCGAGGACACCGCCCTCAAGTACAGCGCCACCCTCAAGCGCCCGGGCGCCGAGGGCCTCCCCAGGCCACTTGACCAGGACCGAGGCAGCCGTGACCTTGACAGCGACCCCGCCGGCCTGGACCCTGAAGCCTGAGTCCCTCACCTGCTGCCTGTTGGAGGATCGGGGTCTTTTGACACCAAAGGGGAGTTTTAATTTGGGTTTTTAACAACTCAGGGTTTTGTTTTTATTTTTTCATTCTATTTTATTTTTGCAGCTCAGTTTTTAAAATGAACTGGAGTGGGGGGCCTGGCCCTCGTGAGCCCAAACAGAACCACAGCTGCCCCGCCGGGCCCCACACTGCCTCCCCCTGCCGGGAACCCGGGGTTCGCTCGTCAAATCAGTGTCAAGGAATAAAATCAGGTGTGGAATGTGCTCCGGTGTGTGGGGCCTGGCAGCGAGGCTGGGCACGGGGTGCCCCTTGAACCCGGGTGAGGGTCTGGTTGGGCCCCACCCGCCCTCCCGGGCTGTTCTCCCTGCGGGTCTTTCTGAGAGCTCCAGGGTGATTCATGGCGCGCGTGCGGCAGATTGATGTCGGTGCCTGTTTTGGCTGATTAGAAATGCAATTAGCGTGCAGGAGCGGGCATCCCGCCCGCCCAGGAGGCCCCGCCCTGCTCCCAGCTGGAAGCAGGGTCAGTGAGGCCACAGAGGTCAGCAGATAAAGGGGCTCCTGGGCCTGATGTGGCCTCCCGGGCACCCTCTGGCCTCGCTGTTCAGGGACAGAGGTGAACCACGGGAGAGTCCCTCTTCCAGCAGCCTGCCCCGGCCTGGCCAGAGTCCCCACACGCCAACTCCAGGGTCATTAGGGTCCAGTGGGAGAGTACAGGGTCACTGGGATCTAGTAGAAGCACTCAGGGATCATTGGGATCCAGTGGGAAAGTGTGGGGGTCACTGGGATCAAATGGGAAACCATGGGGGGGTCACTGGGATCCAGTGGGAGTCCATGGGGAAGGTCACTGGGATCCTGTGGGAGTCCATGGGAGAGTCACTGGGATCCAGTGGGAGTCCATGGGGAGGGTCACTGGGATCCAGTGGGAGTCCATGGGAGGTCACTGGGATCCAGTGGGAGACCTTGGGGGTTCACTGGGATCAGGTCGGTGCACCAGTGACCCTGAGTGAGAGTAGACCCAGGACTCCATGTGGAGGCCGTGGAGGGACAGTGGGAAGCGGGGACAGCGACAGCCACCCCTGGAGGGGTGCCCGCTTACACATGTGCTCGGGGAGCCTTGGTGGGAAGGCCCAGAACAGCCCAGGGAGAGTGTGGACCGAGACTAGAAGGTCCCCTGGGGTCCGTGTGCACTGCAGGACTGAGTGCCCTGCGCAGTGCCCCCAGGGCTGATGAGAGCCCCCTGAGGGGTGGGGCAGGTGGCTGCCCAAGGCTCTCAGAGCAGTCAGGTGCAGAAGGGTGGGAAGTGGAGCAAAGCGGATACAGCTGGGAGGGTGAGCAAGAAGCCGGGAGCCCCACAGCTGTGGGGACCTCAGAGCAGGCGGCTGGAGGGCGGGGCACTCATCCAGGGAAGAAACGGTGGGGGTGCAGCCCACCTTAGAGATGCAGTTCCTTTTCTCCCATCGAGCCTCCCCGGAAGCCGCCGTGAGACTGACTGCAGGTGGGTGTCTCGCCTCTGCTGAGTCTGGACAGGCTCTGGGTCCAGCCCAAAGAACCGGCAGCTGCCCCACCCTCGGGACACAGCAGGAGGCTGGGCCATCCCCCAAATAAACAGTGTTGTCTTGGAAAGTGACGTGAGCCTGGTTCTCTGACAGTTGGGGCACGGCTGGAGATTAAAGTTGAAAGACACTGCTGGAGAGATGGTCCGAAGGTCCCCCCAGCGCTGCCAAGAGTGATCCCTGAGCAGTTAGGAGTATGCTCTGAGCACCATTGGGTATGGCCCAAAAATCAAAGGAAAAAGGTTTAAAGTTGAAAAATGGTGTGACTTCTCATGGTTAATTCATAGTGAAAGGGGACAGAGGTCCTCTCAAATGGAAATTTCGGGGAGGGGAGACAGGGTTAAAAAAAAAGCTTCAGGGGCCAGATAGTACAGCAGACTTGCAAGCGGCCGACCAGGGTTCAATCCCAGAACACCATATGGTCCCCGACATCTGCTAGGCGTGATCCCTGAGTTCAGAGCGAGGAATAAGCCGTGAGAATGCCAGGTGTGTCCCCAAAACAAACTTTAACCCTCGGGAGCCCCACTTGTCTCATATACACACAGCCTGGGTCCAAGCAAGACGCGGCTGAGGCTACAGTGATGTCCCCTTTCAGGAATAAGACCAGGAGTTCAAGTCACTGCTCATGGGGTGACCATGTCCCCTGCTGCAGTCAGGACCAGTATTCGTTCTCCCAGCTGGACGGAAGAATGGGCCACTAGCTGATGGCAAGCAAGGACTTTATTGAAATCAACAGGGCTCCTACAGGGAAAGAGAAACAGCTCCGTGAAGGGCGGCAGGACAGGGATAGAACGGGAAGCAATGCAGTCAACAAAGGAGAAACCAAAGCAAGGAGAATCGGGAGTGCCCCTGTGGAACTGGGTGTGCCCGGGAGCACTGTAGTGTGTATCTCAGTTAACACAAGCTCTCTGAGAAGGAGAACCGGTGACCCACTGCCAAGCCTGAGCTGCCTGGACCTATGGAAGGACAATTGAGGGGGTGACAGTGCCCCTTTTGGTGCTGTCCTTCCCCCTCTTTGGAGCGGTGTCTCCCAGGGGAATCCCCAGAGGATTACTCAAGAGGGTGGCACCATCCAGGTGGCTCAAGAACAGTGCCAGCAGGGCACCCAGCAGCTTAGACTCTGCACTACCCTCATATCACAGTGCAATCGCCAACACTCCCAGTGTGATTCCACACCTCAATTACGTGAGTAGCTCCCCAGCACTAACAATGACAGCAGCCAACTAAAGGGGGGGGAGTTACAAAAAAAAAACAGCTAAGGGTAGAGCTCTCATTGGCTGCCTTCTGCAAGTCACCAGTGCTGCAAAGTCATTGGCTGCCATCCATGCATCACTAGTGCAGAAAAGTTCTCATTGGCTGCCTTCCACGAGTCACCAGTTCTCATTGGCTGCCTTCCGTGAGTCATCAGCGCAGCACAGTTCTCATTGGCTGCTTTCCGTGGGTCGCCCAGTTCTCATTGGCTGTATACCATGAGCCACCAGCGCAGCAAAGTTCTCATTGGCTACCAGTGCAACGGCGCTCTCATTGGCTGTCTGCCACCGATCTGGAACCGGGTAGCATCCCCTCCAACAAGCAGGAAGGCACGAAGCCCTTCTTCATGCCCCGAAGAAGGTGGCGTGATGGGGCAGAGATGTTGGAAGTGGAACAGTGCAAGCTCACCCCACCGCGATGCTTTAGAGGGAGCCCGAGGTGATAATTACCAGGGCGTTCAGGCTTGGTGGGACTGAGCACCAAGGCCCCCTTTGGGGTCAACAGCTGCTGCTTGAACCATGAAACGGCCCATTTTCTTGACTTGCAAGAAACTGCAAAGCTGGCGCCTTACCCGTTAACTCTTCAGCCTCCCAGTATCAAGTCTTTTCTTTGGAGGAGTGGCTTGAAAGGTCACAGGTTTAAAAGGTCAATATACCACCCAGCAGAGGGTGTGTAAATCAGTCCAGGTTCCAGCCACGAAGATAACATCGGGGCTGAGCAGCCACCGTGATTCCCAGCAGTGAAAGTGTTTCTTGTAGTAGATGGGGCCTCGGCGGTTATTTAATATACAAAAAAGAAAAGCCCCTACTGGGAGAGAGCCACGGGTCATTCCTTGGATTTAAAAGCCCCCTTTTTGGGGCTGCAGCGATAGCACAGCGGGTCGGGCGGTTGCCTTGCACGCTGCCAACAGGGCTAACACAGGTTCGATTCCCAGCACCCCAGATGGTCCCCTGAGCACCGCCAGGAGCAATTCCTGAGTGCATGAGCCAGGAGTAACCCCTGAGCATCACTGTGTGAGACCCCAAAAAAATCCCCCTTTTGACACGGGGGGTGGGGGGGTCAGGAATTGGGTTGTTGCCTAGTCCTCATCAGTGACACAGGCTCCTGAACGCGTGCAGCCCACTTTAATCAGATGATGAAACCGTCTTCCTGGAGCTCCTGGTTCGAAACCAAAGTTAAACCCTGCTCTCAGTTCAGGGGGGAAAAAAAAAGGTGCGACTGGTAGACAGCTTTGATCAATGGCCTGGGGCTCATCTGAACCCCAGGCGAGGGTTCCAAACCTGCCCCCGCAGAATCGCCCCTCTGCTGCATCTGCGGCCTCTTAGCCAGTCAGAGGTTCAAACCCGCAGCCCCCTGCAGCATGGGGGAGATGATGGGAGCTCAGGCCAACATCTGTTTCTTTCAACCAAAGGCTCCCCAACCTCTCTCCAGGTACTGCCCGAACTGCCTGAACTGCCTGGACTTTGTCTAAAAGTTGGACATAACATTCACGCGGTGTTTTCTCTGGTGGGGGAGGGGCACAACCACCATGCTCAGGGGATCACTCCTGACTCTGTGCTTAGGGATCACTCCCGGCTCTGTGCTCAGGGCTCACTCCTGGCTCTGTGCTCAGGGCTCATTCCTGGCTCTGTGCTTAGGGATCACTCCCAGCTCTGTGCTCAGGGCTGACTCCCGGCTCTGTGCTCAGGGCTGACTCCTGGCTCTGTGCTCAGGACTCACTCCTGGCTCTGTGCTCAGGGCTCACTCTTGGCTGTGTGCTTGGGGCTAACTCCCGGCTCTGTGTTCAGGGCCTACTCCTGCCTCTGTGCTCAGGGAAACGTATGTAGTGTCTGGATCAAACGCTGGTGAGCTATGTGCAAGGCAAGTGCCCTCCCTGCTGTCCCCTTTCTCCTGCCCCTCCAGAGTGGTTTTTTTTGGGGGGTCACACCCGGCGATGCTCAGGGGTTACTCCTGGCTCATGCACTCAGGAATCACTCCTGGCAGTGCTCGGGGGACCATATGGGATGCTGGGAATCGAACCTATGCTGGACATGTTGGCTGCGTGCAAGGCAAATGCCTTACCTGCTGTGCTCTCGCTCCAGCCCCCAGAGTGTTTTCTTAAAGCAAACTATTTTCCCTTGCTTTGAAAGAGAAAGAGAAACTTGTTACCACAAATAGTAAGAAACGCTATCTCAAACAGAAAGTCTTCGATCCTCCCTCCCTCCTGTGCCCGCCAGGCTCTGCTTATCAAAGAGCAGAGGGCAATATTGAGGCTCCACGAAAGGTGCTCCAGAACCTCCAGCGCCTCTCCTTGATGTCATCCGAGGGCTTGGAAGGGAACCGAGCAGGTCACTTGCTCATCTAGAAGTTCGGTGCTAGCTGGTGTCTTGCGTGGACATCTGCTCAAGCCCCTACCACTTCCCCAGACTGCCACACTGGGGGAATGTGTGACCCCACATTTGGGGCCAGGCTGGTAGAGTGACAACAAGAAACGCGAACACGTGCCCATCCCTAGATGCAGCAGCCACTGGGAACCAAGCACACGGGGAGGCATTCCCCAAGGTTTAATCCCCCCTGGGAGGACCAGCCTGGGGCACCACATAAACTGCAGCCTCTCCCCCTCTACTTGCCTGTGACCTTGCCTATGACAGGGGGCTTGCTGGGGATGAACGGGGTGCCAGCACGCATGGGGTCACCGCGGATGAGGACTGTTACTCAGTGGACAGGCGTCCCCAACTCCTGCTCCCCACCCAGGCAAGACAGTCCTCCTGCCCATTTCCGGGGGCTGCAGGTGAGACACAGAGAAGCAAGGGCAGCGCCCTGACAGACTCGATAAAGGAGCTAGAAGAAGCTAGGCCTAGGTTTCAGTTCCAGAACTCCTGGAATTGAGTTAAGAGTATTCCTGGAAGGGAGAGAGCCATGGTGAGGTCAGCTAGAGTTACCAATCAGATGCAGGGAAGGAAGCCCTCCTTATGGAACCCTTATGGGACTCTGATTGGTTACGTAACGACCAATCAGCTAAGTAGAAGTCGTGGAAAGTCCCTCAGGGTGCAGCCAAAAGGGTGGACCGAAGAAAGTCCCTGTTATATAATGCTATGGTATTAAAAACCCCTCACTTTGAGACTCGGGGCCACTCACTCACTCTGGGGAAGCCACCGTGTTGGTGAGCCAGACGGGGGCCCTAGCTCCAACTAGCCAATAAAGACCCTCTGCTTATTGCATCGAAGCTTTGTCTTCGTGTGATTTCTCTGGGGAGATCTCGGCCCGGTTTAACACAGGGAGCAAGGCTATGGGTGTCCGGCGCCCTACTCCGCTGTAGGGCACTTGCTATGTTGGAGTCTCCAGACAGCTCAAGTGATAAGTGGGCGGCAGCAGGAGATTGAGGGATCCTCTAGAGGACAGCCACCCCCACAGCGAGGACTCTGGGCCAACCAGACCGAGCGAAGGTGAGCTCGCAGCCCCCACCCACTGCCCGTGTAATTCCTGGAAGGCCAGAAGCCACAGCGGCCAACAAAGCCCTTCACGACGTCAGGGCCAAGCCTTGTTCGCCACAGTTGCCACAGGGCAGTTGGCTGGACTCCAGTCCGGATCAGGCCAAGACATAAGTGAACGGCTGGACCGTAGCAGGCACGCACTCAGCAAACTCTGAGAAAGCCAACAAGGGATTTCACATCCTAGTTATGTGGTTATTTTCTAATTCCACTTGGGTCAGAGAGCATACAAAGGGTTCATTTGCCTGGGCCACATAGGGTTCCCTGGACACTGCCAGGAATGATCCCCGAGCACAGAGAACTGAGCACCACCACCCAAGATATAGACAAAACGTTGATACTGTCTTTTGTGGTGTATTCGAATATTACTTGTGGAGACGTCCACAGGGAACTGGTGGGCTTCTGGCACCTTCGCTTCCTCTTCACACCGGGCAGTGAGCAGAACTGAGGAAGCGTGAGGCTGGCCTGCTTTGGCCGCCGTTGCCAGGAAGGTGTTTTCAAAGCACAGATGTTCAAACTTGTTCTGTTTGTCTGTTTTGTTCAGGGCCACACCAGGGTTGTTCAGGACTTGTTCCTGACTCTGCACTCAGGAATCACTCCTGGCAATGTTCAGGGGGCCATGCAGGTTGCTGGGGATTGAATCCTGGGTTGGCAGCAGGCAAGGCAAACACCCTAGCCACTGTACTATCGCTAAGGCCCCGAAATATTATTTTAGATGCTTACCCATTCTCTTTAAGAGAACATTTAATGTGAAAAGGCCCTCCCGACATAAAATAGCTGGGTTCCTAGGAACTGGGGAAGGTCACACAGGGCCCCGAGGGAATTGTGGGGGGGCGGAGTGGGGGGGTTCTGCATCTTGACAGTGTTAAAGATTGCCTTTGTCAGATTTGGGGGATGGACTTACTGAATATAAATTATGTTTCAATGAGCATGACTCTAAAAGATTACATATAATTAAAATGAGATCAAAGGGATTTCGCTCCCAACAGGGGCCATTGCGATAGCACAGCAGGGAGGGCACTTGCTAACACACAGCCAACCCAGGCTCAATCCCCGGCATCCTATACGGTCCCCTGAGCACTGCCTGGAATAATTCTTGAGTGCAGAGCCAGGAGTAACCCCTGAGCATTGCCAGGGGTGGCCCAAATACAAAACAAACAAACAAACCCTCAGCACCCATCAGGATGGCTGAAACTAAAGCAGCCTTTGTTGGGGCTGGAGCAATAGCACAGCGGGTAGGGCATTTGCCTTGCACTCGGCCAACCTGGGTTCGATTCCCAGCATCCCATAGGGTCCCCTGAGCACTGCCAGGGGTAATTCCTGAGCGCAGAGCCAGGAGGAACCCCTGTGCATTGCCGGGTGTGACCCAAAAAGCAAAAATAAATAAATAAATAAATAAATAAATAAAGCAGCCGTGTTACAGGAAGCAGGCCCCAACCATCAGCCTGCATCGGGGGTCTGGGGTCACCCTCCGCACAGTGGTGCCTTTGGGTTACTTTTTGGCAGCTCATGGAGGGGGGCAGAGGCGGTCCAGGGGAACCTGCAGCTGGCAACAACCACAGGCCCTGCGGGTACTCAGCTGGGCGTTTGTTCTGGAGGATGAAACCATGCTGGGTGCCCCCGGCAGAAGCAAACCTGGATCTCCCGCACACCCAACCCACGCTCCAACCTGAGGGCCCTCAGCGCACGCGTGGGGCTCAGTTCCACCCAGGAGGCAACAGTTGAGCAGCGGGTCCCCGAGGCCCCTCCTGGGGGTGGACCCCAAAGGGGAGTACTGGGCTGATCTGGAGGCAGAAAGGTGGGGGCGGCCCTGGGGACCCCGAGGGTGCGGATGTTTCCAGGCACCTGCGCACTCTCCTGTAACAGGAGCATGGGGGGAGGGCACCTGCCCACCACGCTCAGCACCCACAGACCATCAGAGGAGACTGAGCAGACAGCAGCAACCCAGGCTGCAGCGCAGAACTTCACTTTTTGGGGGCGGGGGCTGGGGGGGGAGTCACACCTGGTGGTGCTCAGGGCTTACTTCTGCTCTCTGCTCAGGAAGCACCCCCGGTGGGGCTTGGGGGACCTTATGGGTGCCAGGATTTGAATCTGAGTTGGTCTCTTGTAAGGCAAATGCCCTGTCTCTCCAACCCCTGGAGGTCAGAACTTTAATCTATACCCTGGACAAATTAATTAATGAATTGATCCAGGTGTCCCGGAAATGAATGGTCCCTGCACTTTGGACAAGAATTTCCTTCGTAGAGGAGAGAGGGGAAGAAACTTTCCTGATACAGCCAAGGGCACCCTGGGGACATCTTGAGAGAGTTCGAGAGATTCCCATCAGCTAGGGAGGCTCTAGGCCTGTCAAGGTGCCAAGGCCCGAGCATGGGTGGAGCCACCAGGATGGGGTGCCGTGGGCGGGGCCAGGAGGAAGCCCTTTCTTCTCTCACATTTTACGGCGGTTTTATTTTTTTGGTGGGAGACTCTCGTCTGCAGTGCTCAGGCCTTACTCCTGACTCTGTGCTCAGGGATCTTTCCCAGCGGGACTCAGGACTGCAATACTGAGACCAAACCAGGATCAGTCTAGTGCAAGGCGGGCTCCCCTCCTGCGGTCAGACCTCCCCGGCCCCGTAGTCTCAGTTTTCGTTGTGGGAAGCTGGTCTGAGCTCTGGTCCATTGTGAAAGCAGGACTCACCTTGGGGTATGCCCCGGCAGCACAAAACAGAAAAGAGCAGGGCCAGCACTGGGCCTTTGTTGCCTTTCTGCCTGGGACCCAGTGCTCAGGAGCTGCTCTGGCTGGTGCGGGCATTTGGTCCAGCTGTCGGGCTCAACCTCCTGTGCGGTTTTCACCATTTCAAGCGTCCTGTTCAGTTTGGTATATGCACATAGCCACGTAACACACTCCAGAACGTTCTCATCTTGCAAAAGTGACTCCGTGCCCCCCACGAAAGGAAGTCTCCCCGACCCTGCCCGCACCCCGCACTCCGCCCTCTCTCGGGCCCCTCATCCAGAGATGCTCGGCACGGTCTTTGGGTGCCTGCCTTTGCCTCCACTCTTGTTCCCAAGCTTCACACGCCGTGCATCTGTTCACAAACACACATTTTTTTTCATAATTTTATTTATTTTTTTTCTTCTTTTTTTTATTTTTTTTTTATTAGTGAAACACCATGAGGTACAGTTATAAACTTACAAATTTCTGTGCTTGGGTTTCAGTTATACAGTGATCACGCACCAAAAAATTCCCTTTGTCTGGTGAATTCTAGGCCACGGCCCAGTCCTCCCCTTCTGGGAGTGGACGGAATGGACACGAGGGGCAGCCCCCTTGGGCCATGCGGACGTTGCTGGGGGGAAGTACCTTGTAGACTCTGCTCTTTGTGGCTGGCTCCAGCCCCACCCTACCTCTGCCCTTTGAGTTACAGTCACAGGACAGGGGGGTGGGACACGGAGCCTTTTACAGCCAGGGATAAAGTCCTCCCCACAAGACAGCTCTTCTCCAAGCAACCGGACAGCAGTCTCCGCAGGTCCCCAGTGTCGGCCTCCAGCCCCCCCCACAGCCATGCCAGGCCTGCGGGTCCTGCTACTGCTAGCTCTGGGCCTGTCCAGCTCCCTCGGGGTCATCCCAGGTAAGGAAACTCCTCCAGGCGGACCCCCTCATTCCAGTGGGGATACCCCATGCTGACTGGGCCACCACTCTCCCCTGGGTCAGAGGAAGAAAAGGTGCCGGACTTCTGGAACAAGAAGGCGGCCAAGGCCCTGGACACCGCCAAAAATCTGCAGCCCATCGACACGGGGGCCAAGAACGTGATTCTCTTCCTGGGGGATGGTGAGTGACCGGCCCTGTGCACCCGCCACAGCCCCCCATCCCAAGCCCCAGGTGACCTGACTCTCTCCCTCAGGGATGGGGGTGCCCACAGTGACGGCCACCCGGATTCTGAAGGCACAGCTGAATGGCAAACTGGGGCCAGAGACACCCCTAGCCATGGACCACTTCCCCTATGTGGCTCTGTCCAAGGTAAGTTCTTGGGGACCTCAGAGGCTCCCACCACAAGGTTGGGGGTTGGGGGAGAAGGGGTGGCCCAAGGGAAGATGCTGAGGGGAGTCCCCAGGTCTGGGAGCTGAAGCCACATCTGTCCCCAGACCTACAACGTGGACAGACAAGTGCCGGACAGCGCGGGCACAGCCACTGCCTACCTATGTGGGGTCAAGGGCAACTACAAGACCATCGGGCTGAACGCTGCGGGCATGGTCGGCCAATGCAACACCAGCTTTGGCAATGAGGTCTACTCGGTGCTGACCCGGGCCAAGAAAGCAGGTGGGCGCAGGCCCAGATAGGGCCCCCCCCACGCCGGGGAGCCTCGGGCACCCCCTGATGACCTCTATCCCTTCCCCTCAGGAAAGTCGGTGGGGGTGGTGACCACCACCAGGGTGCAGCACGCGTCCCCCGCGGGCAACTACGCGCACACCGTACACCGGGACTGGTACTCGGATGCCGACATGCCCTCACAGGCGCTGAAGGAAGGCTGCAAGGACATCGCCAGCCAGCTCATCGCCAATGTGGACATCGATGTGGGCACCACTCTGGGTGGGCGGGGCGGGATGGAGCGCAGCCACGTGCTGGCTTTGGCTGGGGGACTGCACGCACCCCCACAGCCGGGACCCTGGGCGCTGGGCTTCCCCCGTCCAGTGCTGGGAGCTCAGGGTGGGCTGAGGAGGAGCCCCCAGCCCCACGACTCTCTCTCTCCAGGTGGTCCTGGGTGGAGGCCGCATGTACATGTTTCCCAAGGGGACCCCGGACCCTGAGTACCCCGAAGACACCAAGCAGCAGGGAATTCGGAATGACGGGAGGAACCTGGTGAATGAGTGGCTGGCTGCGCACCAGGTGCGGGGCGCGGGCTCGGGTGGGCGGGTCGGACGCGGCGGGGGCGCGGCAGGGGCGCGGCGCTGAGGCTGCTTCCCCGCAGAACGGCCGCTACGTGTGGAATCTCGTGGGGCTCAAGGACGCCGCCAAGGACCCGTCTGTGACTCACATCCTGGGTAAGGCCCTGTCCGGCGGCTCAGGTCACGGCGCTCCGCGTCGCGGGGCCCCTGAGCGCTCGGTCCCTCTGCAGGCCTGTTCGAGCCCAAGGACACCAAGTACGACATCGAACGCGACCCATTCCTGGACCCGTCCCTGATGGAGATGACCGAGGTGGCCCTGCAGGTGCTGAGCAGGAACCCCCGGGGCTTCTACCTCTTCGTGGAGGGTGAGAGCGGGGGGCGCCCCTGGCCGAGCCGGGGTGGGGGGAGGCGCGGGGGGGACGGCTCCGATCGCGGGGTCCACGTGGCCTTCCTGCAGGGGGCCGCATCGACCAAGGCCACCACGATGGCATCGCATACAAGGCGCTGACCGAGGCCGTCATGTTCGACATGACCATCGACAAGGTCGGGAAGCTCACCGATGAGAAGGACACCCTGACCCTCATCACGGCCGACCACTCGCACGTGTTCACCTTCGGGGGCTACACGCACCGCGGCTCTTCCATTTTCGGTAAGTCGGGAGGCGCGGGGCCTCTGGTGGGCGGGCCTCGGGTGGGGCGGGGCCTCTGTTGGGTGGGGCTTCAGTTGAGGCGGGGTCTCCATCGGGGGCGGGAACTCGGCTGGGAGCAGAACTCCGTTGGGGCGGGGCTTTATGTCGGGGCGTGGCCTGTTTGGGGGCGGGGCCTGTTCTCCGGCGGGATGGGGGCTCAGCAGGGGACGGGACTCCGCGGAGCGTGAGGGCCTCCGTTGAGGGCGTGGCCACTGTTAGGGGCGGGGCCTCCGTTGAGGGCTTGGCCACCGTTGGGGCGTGACCTCCATTTGAAGGCGTGGCCTCCGTTGGGGCGTGCCCTCCACTGAGGGCGTGGCCTCCGTTGAGGGCGGGGCCTCTGCTGGGCGTGGCCTTCGTTGAGGGCGTGTCCTCCACTGGGGGCGTGGTCTTCGTGGGGTGGGGCTCCGTGGGGGCAGGGACTCCACCAAGGGGGTGTGGCCTCCGTCGGGGGCGGAGGTTCCGCTGGCGGTGGACCTGACTCTGCAACTCAGTTTCCACGTCTGTCCTCTGGGCTCTGAGCATCACCCGGCAGGCCTAGGAGAGGGCCTGGGGTGCCTGGGCTTAGCGCCCGAGGGGTGCCCATCGGCCACGGTTAGTGCCCTCACCGGGTCCCCTCCTCCCGCAGGGCTGGCGCCCGAGTTGGCCCTGGACTTAAAGACCTACACCTCCATCCTCTACGGCAACGGGCCAGGCTACAACTTGTCCAGTACCAACCGGCCCAACGTCAGCGAGACCCAGAGCAGTGAGTGTCCGGGCGGCCCGGGGGAGGGGGGCTCCGGCGGGGACGGCTCGCTTGCGGCCCTCCTGACGACCGCCCTCTGCAGTGGACCCCAACTACAAGCAGCAGGCGGCCGTGCCGCGCAGCTCGGAGACACACGGCGGCGAGGACGTGGCGCTGTTCGCGCGCGGCCCGCAGGCGCACCTGGTGCACGGCGTGCAGGAGCAGACCTACGTGGCGCACATCATGGCTTTCGCCGCCTGCCTCGAGCCCTACACCGACTGCGGCCTCAGGATCCCCGACTCCGCCGTGCCCGGGGTCAGCTCGCCCGTGCTGGCGCTGCTGGCCGGGGCCCTGCTGCTGCTGCTGCTGGAGGCCTGAGCGCCCCCGGCCCCGCCCGACCTGCCTCCAGCGGAGGAGGCCCCCTCCAGACCTCCAACCCGGGCACCTCCGGGAGCTCCCGCCCCGCCCCCTCCGCCGGCCTCCGCACCGGACTGGACAGGACTGGATGTCCCGCAGTCCGAGAAGGACACCCCCACGCTTCTCTGGCCTCCATGCCCCGACCTCACGGACCCGGATGGTGTGCGCCTGCGCACTGCACCCCGGGACACGCAGGGCTCTAGTCACTCGGCCAGGCCCAAGCTTCGGGGGTCAGTCCAGGCCTAGGGGCTGTCCGCGCCCCTCGCCCGCCACCAAGGCCAGATATACAGCCTCCCAATGCTCCTCCTCCTCCTGCCCTTCTACCTCCTCCCTCTCCCCTTCCCTCTTTTCCTCCTCCTCCTCCCACCTGCTCCCCGGCCTCCTTCCCCTCTAATTTGATAACAGGGAAGATTTCCTCCCTAGACACCTTTTCCTGGGAGGACAAAGTTGTCAAATAAACTGCTCCACAGGTGGTGTGGCAGTGGAATGTTCTGGAAAGCCTTAGCCCTGGGGTGGTGGTCGGAGTCGGTAGTGGTCTGCCACAGGTCAGTTCTGGCAGGAGAGCCGGAAGTGAGGGCTTGAGCAAAGGTGAGGTGGGCGACCCCAACGAGACCACAGGATGGGTGTTGAAGACCCCCAGCAGAGCTAAGGAAGGAGAATCCAGGAGCAGGAGTGTAGGGTGGGGGGGAGGTGTGGCTCTCGGAAGGCTGTGAGTGATGTGGGGACCACTTCCTGAAAGTCCTGCCCTGTCCTTTCACTGGACAAGGGCCTGGCATGGGGACTGAGAGAGCAGAAAGAAACACACTGCCAGGACCCCTGGGTGCTGAGTCCACCCCAAATGAAAGCAGATTTGGGGAAGGCAAAAATCAGTGATACTTTCCAGTACAGGTTTCTTAACTGGACATTTACTTGCATCCTGAAGGTGCAAATGCACGCTCTGTCCAGAGAGGGGAACGTGGGTCACTCAGCGGCCCTCCTTGCCAAGCTCTGGCTTCAGGCTGTCAAACGGCTGTTTGGGGCCTGAATGACAGTACCGCAGGAGGGTATTTGCCTTGCACGCAGCTGACCCCGGTTCCGTCCCAGGCATCCCATATGGTCCCCCAGGTCCTCGAGGAGTGATCCCTGAACACTGCTGAGTGTGGCCCAAAACACAAACAAACAAAGCTGTCTGAAGACCTGACTTTGGGGAAAATTGGTCTCAGCTGGGAAGTCTGCACGCTAACAGGAGAGTGTATTTTAGGGGGCTCACAGACCCCACACCCGGAAATCCCGTGGCTCCATCCGTCCACCCACCCGTAGTGAGGCCCAAGCTCTGGTTAACCTTCAGCTGCTGCCCAGCTCAGCCTGACCAAGCAGTGGGCGGGGCCGCCGGGAAGGTGTCGTCTGTTCACCCCAGGCAGTGCTCCACCCTAAAAGGTTTCAAACAGATCCCTCTGGCCTTGGGTTGTTTGGGGTCAGACCTGGTATTGCTCTGGGGTTACTCCTGGCTCTATACTCAAGCAGGGGTCAGTCCTGGGAAGCTGAGGAGATACCGGGGATCGAACCTGTGCCACCACTGCAAGGCAAATGCTGTTCTGTTGCTCCGGCCCTCCTCTGGCCTTAGGGGTGATGGTGGCACCCCTTTTAATATTCTAAATCCACCAAACTGGTGACTTCATGAGTGACTTTGGTGGCATATCAGCCATTTCTGGATTTTCTCAGCCGGTTTCTACCTTGCTGTGTGTAGGATGAGCCACGGAAACCACTGTCACTGTCACTGTTCTCCGTTGTTCATCGATTTGCTCGAGCGGGCCCAGTAACATCTCCATTGTGAGACTTGTCATAACTGTGTTTGGCATATCAAATACGTCATGGGTAGCTTGCCAGGCTTTGCCGTGTGTGCGAGATACTCTTGGTAGCTTGCCAGGCTCTCTGAGAGGGGCGGAGGAATCAAACCCGGGTTTCCCGGTTTGGCTGCTTGCAAGGCAAATGCCCTACCCACTGTGCTATCGCTTCAGCCACATAAATGGCCTCAAATAACTGGCACCAGTGGACGTGTTCCCAGACTCCTTGCCCTTAAGGGCGCACGGAAGTGCCCGTCACTGTTTTTTCAAGCCTTTTAGGGGGTGACCATCCCCAAGAGTCTGCGTGAGTGGGGGACGTGACTGTGTGGTGAACACTCAGTCCTCAGGGGAGACTGAGGCAGTACACAAAGACATGGGTGGGAGCGAAAAGTAGGACACTCCGTGTGCACAATGAAGGAAACTTTGTGTGATGGAGCGGGTGGGCCGGAAGTGGGGAGCACACCCCTTCGGCTCCACAGGTTTCTGTCTGGACGGTGTCCTTAATTTCCATATGGGCTCGTATCTCTGCTGAGTTGGTTCTGCAAGGTCGTGCTAACTTTGGTAACTTTATTGGTCCAGAGTCCTTTTGTCAAAAAAAAAAGCTTCCCAGAGCCAGTACAGCAAGTATGGCGTTTGTCTTGCACACAAGCAAACTGGGTTTGATCCCCAGCACCTCGCAGGGTCCCTCGAGCCCACCAGGAGTGGCAGATCCCTGAGTGCAGAGTCAGGAGTAAGCCCTGAGCACCATGGGTGTAGCACAAAAACAAAAACAGGAAATGCTTCTCAGGGTCAGAGAGCTAGTACACAGCGTGCGGCTCTTGCTTTGTACTTGGCTGACCTATGTTCATTGCCCAGCACCGTAGACGGTCCCCTGATCACCGCCAGGAGTGAGCCCTGATCACAGAACTAGGAATAAGCCTGTGCACCTTCAAGTATTCCCCTACAAGATAAATAAATAAAGATCAAGATGAAAATCCTTGGGACTGGGTATACAGTGGCTTCAACAGCCACTCTCGGTACTATCCAGAGCCTGTGGCGGGTACGGGCTGCCCTAAAGGACCTCAGAGACTGTCCTTGCTGGTGGACATTCATCGCTGCTCTCGTGCTCCAGACACCCATGCTGATGCCTCTGGAAAGGTCCTGGGCACAGTGGCCAAAGGTCCGCGTTGGCCAAATAATCCTGCCCATCAGCTCCAAGCTGCAGAACAAGGAGCAGGGGACGGAGGCTCTAGGCAAGGCCAAGGTCAAGTTCCCTGGTCACCGGAAGAGCCACGTCTCCCAGAAACGGGGCTCGACCAGGTGGAATGGCCAAGGATGCGTGTGAAGACACGGGGCCTGAAGAGCGACTCATCCGGGACGGCTGCAGAATCTGACACATCCCGGATCACACGGCAGCCCTGCCTCCCGCCAGCATCGGAGCTGCCCGAGTCCCGCCCACCAGTAAAGCGGACTTCCTGTCTCTTAAAAAAAAAAAAAGTCATTTCCAGGGAGCAGAGAAAGCTCCAGAGTAGAGTCGGCCTCAGGTATTCATCCCTGCACCGCCAACGTGCCAAGTGTGACACCTGGGGCCACAGGGTGTGATCTCCAAAGCACCACAAATAAGTGAGCGCCCACTGAAATCTTGATGCCAGACACCCCCAAAAGAGCAAAGACAAAGGAAAGAGGGGGTGCTGGGTACAGAGAAAAACTCCTTTGCAAATAGTTGTGTCCCGTTGGACAAACTACCCCCATTTGCTCCATTTGATGTTATTTTTGTCCACACGCATGAAGGTACCAGCAGAGGAACAAAGGCATGTGGGTCCCGGGGCTGAGATCTCCAAGCCTGCTCGGATCGGGGCTGAGCATCCTCCACCCAGATCCTCCAAAATTCAGTAGGCAGGGGCCACCCCACCAACTGGCCCCCTGGCGCCCTGTAATCCCATCAAAGGCCAAGACTCAGAGACTATAAAACCCAACTCCCGGAAGCGCTTATCTCTTATCTTATCTCTTTCTTCTTTGGACAACCTGGCAGGCTACCGAATGTAACCTGCCCACATGGCAGAGTCTGGCAAACTCCCCGTGGCGTACCCAATATGCCAAATACCAGTAACAATGATGGGTCTCATTCTCATTCTCCTAATCCTGAAAGAGCCTTGAATATGGCGCTTTTTAAAAAATCTCAGGGCTAGGACGAAGGAGACGTTACTGGGGCCTGCTCAAGGCAATCGACAAACAACAGGATGGTCGTGTTCGTGATCGTTTGTCCAATAAGGCATTTACTGCTGGGAATAGACTGTCTCCACTGTCTCTCCTTCAGTGGCAGTGCTCAGACACACACACAGGCACACACGCGTGCGCACGCGCACACACACACACACACACACACATGCACGCACACAGTGGTTTGTCTATTTCATTATGAGCACAGAGCCCAGCAAGAGCTGAGCTGTGTAGAAACATCTGTACACGTATAACAAACCTCCCACACCGGATAATTGGTTCCAGTGCTTTCTCTAATCTACGGTGGGTTTTTCCCTCCGTCTCCCCATCGTACTTGCTGACTAAGAAATGCTTTTCGGTTTGTCAACAGATCATTTTCTGCTCATTGTTTCTGCCATTTTCCCTGCAGCAGAGAGGATAAATGTTTGCCTGGTGCGAAGTGGTTCTTGTCTTTTGCTATTATGCAAGAAACTTTTAAAGTGCTTTCCAAATATTTATCATTGCTTAGGGAAATAGCAAAAAAAGTACTGGGGGGAATCGCACATAACTTTCATCGTCACAGGGAAGAAATGGGGATGTGTGGGGGGACTTTGGGTTCCACATGCTCAGTTAGTTGTTTCCATGCCTGTCAACCATGAGGGTGATGCACACAAGGCATCCCGATTGAGAATCCCTGGTCACCAAGGGGGTAGGTGGGCCGTGAGTTCTGGTCTTAGCTGGGAGATCAGAATTGCTTCTTTGGACCTGTGCCCTGGCATAGATCTTCAGTATGATTTGCAGTTTCCTTACTGAAAATCTTTTGTAAGCCTAATCATTCTAGAGTTGATTCCACACTAGATTTGGGACTGGAGAGATGGTCCGGGGGGTAGGATGCTTGCCTTGCATGCAGCCGTCCTGACCCATTCCCTGGTACACTATGCACTGTCCTCCTGTTGTTCA